GTGTCATGGCCTAACTAGACCCAGTGCTGCCCAACACCTGGTCTCTCCCTGGGTGTCCCTGCCCATCAGGAGGTGCATCACGGCGTGGTGGTGATGTGTTGTCATCTGGGTGAAAACACAGCCTCAGCTCCTGCGCTGTGCAGCCTCGCCGCTCAGTAGGAAAGGGCTGGGCGAGAAATATTTTCTATTCCTAAGCAGCGAGCGTGCACCGTTCGCCTGACGTGCTGTTTCCTGTTGTTGTAGCACTTTAAAAGCAATGCCCGTAGGTCAGGATTAGAAGCTGCTGTTATGTGGGTACAGTGCCTTAACATAAGAAGTGGAAGTGGCAGTAGTTGGTTGGCAGCTTTCTCATTCCACCCTGCAAAAGCATTCAAAGTTCAAACCTTTGGGGAAAGGAATTATTTTCTGAGCAGCCTTCTTCCCTTCCCTGTTTTGAATCATTGGAAGCCTGAGGATCTAAGATTATTATTCAGGCCTGCCTGTCACATAAATAAAACCGATACCTTACATCTTCAGCATCAACAACAAAAAAACCCTAAAGAGGCAGCCAGAGATGGTGGGGACAGTGTGGCTTTCAGAAGAAGGCTCAGTGAAAACCTGTGTTTCCGCAAGTATCGCTGTAATCTGCAAACGGTTGGTTGGGAATTGTGCCCCTTCAAATGGGGAGGCTGGGAACGCCAGGTCTTCGAACAGCTGGGAGAGGAGTTGAGTAGGAAAAAGGGGAAGCAATGAGTGAGGAAAACATAGCCAGAAATCAGGACGAAGTGGATCTGTTAGAATTATTTAAGGGGTAAAAACATGGTTCAAGAACCTGATGAAATATCTTTGTTGTCAAAACCAAACACCTAGTGGGAGAGGTCAGGGATGTTATTGTTGTATTCTCTATGGAAAAGCTTCTCAACATCTACTTTGAAAAACAAACCAAATCCAAATGCTTCACAACAAAAAAGAGAAATTGTGCTCAGGAATGGATTGGAAACACGGGCCTGCCCAGAGCAGGGGAAAACTTCCCTTATCCTGTGTTTCTGGGGGAGAAATTACTCTCAGTAGGATAACTGGTGTGTTAAGAGGGGTTAGAGTTGTTAAAAGCTTGGAATAATATAGAGAGAGTGCTACTGTCGTAATCACAATTGATACTCAGAATGCCTGTAAGGAAATATCTGCTGTTGGCCGCAACACATGTGCTCTCTGAAGTGAATAGCATTACAATGGTTCTCCTGTATTGTACGCGGTTTTTTAATGTGCCAGTTGTTTGAAAATTTCATACGAGATACAGCTTTGAACAGCTGTGTTTGGGAAGAGCATGAACTGCCTTGTAGCAATACCATCCTAGAAACAGGGTTGATTTGGAAAGTTCCAGCAAGATCAGAGAAGGCTAAAAATTATTATTTGCCTGAATAGAAATAGTTGTTCCTGGAAGCCAGTCCCCTCAACTGAAATATCACTTGGACCAGGTGTGGAGGGTGTTGGATACTACAGGGTTACCTTGTAAGTCATGGGCTGAAGATGCCAAAGCGCAAGCAGTTGGATTATGTTAATGTTCTGCTGCTGCTGTGTTGATAGTGCTGATTTAAGAATGTGCTTTTATAAGACATAATTCACGGTACAGTAACATGTTTAGGGATAGGCAAATATTGGCTAATCAAGAATTTCCTCCTTTTCTGTGCTAACTAGTTAATCATGATGTAAAAAAAATCTTACTTGTTCAGTAAGCGGTAAAATCTTTTTTCAGTACATTTGGTGTGGGCATGTAAACTTCATCTGTTTCAGGTAATTAGCACTGCATTAGCACAACATGGCAACTGGTGTTTAAACACAAGGTGATTAACTATACGGTGTAAATGTGGTGTGCTAAAGAGCTAACCGAACCCATGAATTTCTAGCTCATCAAAAATAACATGCTAGAAATGTTATTTAGGGGTGGGGAGAGCAGTTAGTATTTTTCTCCTGCCTTGCTAGATTATTGATACGCGGTTAGTGCCAAATGGGCAGAAGAGAAAGGGTCAGACATTTCAAGCTGATGCCAACAGCATCACGTGCAAGTGCAGCTCTTCTGTGGTTTTTTTTTCTTCCTTTTTTTTTTTTTTTTTTCCTTCCTTAGTGTATAGTGATGTAATGGCTCAATGACCTGGAAGATGTGTAGGGGTTTTGTACTTTCAAATTTTGGTATGATAATCTTGCCGTTTTACAACTGATACAGAATATTAGAGATGTGTGATAGCTGATGGTCCAGCACTAGGGAAATGGAAATAGGGTTGGACACGTACCTTGTCCAGTAGTAGTTTTTTTCCCCCTCTCCAAAATAAATTTGCATGCATTTTTCTAAAAAATTGGGAAATTTGCAGTTTGAACCACTTGAAATGAAGCTGTGTCCATAGGAAGCATGGGCTCTGTATGCTGGTGGTTCTCAAGCGTGCTTATCCAACAGGGAAATGAAAGATCAAGTTTCTTACCAACTGTAACACTCACCAAGTTGTGTATGCATATGACTGATAAATGCATATCTAGACTTATAAATAACTGAGAGTTCTTACTATTGGGGTAAATAAATACTTGACTCACAGATGTGACAGGAAAGGTAACAATTTGCTGAGTCCTAAGTGGGCTGGAGTTTACACCTCCATCACTGAAAGAGAGTTCTCCATTTTATACTGCTGCTTTGATGTGTCAGATGGATTTTAGGAAGGACAGAAGAAAACAGTTCCATGATAAAAGCTGAAGCCACAACCTGGTCTTGAGGCAGAATTTTGTCTCTTAAGCAGTTTGTAAGAAAAATGGTTAGTTGTCAAGTGAAAGCATGACTAGAGTCTGAAAGCTTCTTTTGATTCTTTGAACCCAAACTGGCTCTCTGAACTGGGTCTGAAAACTGAAATGAAAATTTCTGAAGGCTTTGCATGTAGCAGGATGAGAGCCCAGCTTGATCTGTACAAGCTGACTGGGAAGCATGCAAATGCTAGAAGAAGCAAGGAATAAACTAGTCAACAATTTAGGAGCCATAAAATGGACAACTATAGTGAGTAGGAAGTTGTGGACAGATAATAATTTCTGATCCAACATTACTGGATAAGCTGGGTAGCAAAGATCCGCTACTTTAAAATGTTTAACACAGCTCATTTTACTGACAGGTTAAAAAGCGTTTACATGAACAGCTCCATTAGCAAGTACAAAGGGCTGCAGCCTTTAGTAGGAAGGTGATGGCAAACAGGTGGCACTGGCTTGCTGGATAATACAATCTGATAGCACAACTGTTTGTGAAGTGCACATTTCTTCACCACCACATAATCATTCTTCTGAGCTGCTCTTTAAACATCAGCAAAGGCCTCTCATTAATTCAGCTTGACAGTTTGATTACAGCATTTTACAGCTTCTGAAAAATAATTCAGTTACTGAAGTGGTAAACTTGCTGTCTTGACAATGAAGATAAAGTGCTACCTCACAGCCAGCAAGGCAGAGCTAATCTTGTAATTCCCGATCCATCTTTGTGTATGGTCACCAGTGCCTTGGTTTAAATGTGTGGTATTTCCTTTTCATGTAAATACATGCGAAGTCCACTTTCGGGGTCAATAAAATGCTTGAAATAACATGTAGATGCAATTGATGTAAAAAGCAGGTGTGTTGATGTATCTATTGTATAAGCAGCCTGTGTGCACCGAACTGATCAGAGATCGGTATTGTCAAAAAGTACTGTTGCTACATCAGAGAGAAGAGCAGTTGCCTCTACCGGAGTGTTCTTACAGCAAAACTACTAGCAGTAATAAATCCTTTGGGTATATATGTTATCTGAGGTAGATCTCAAACGTGGCTCTATCTGCTTAAGTCTGACTCGTGTCTTTTTGACAACAGTTAGTTTGATACTGTCCATTATTGAAGTGTCTGGACTTACTTCATCTCACTGTACTGGGGTTCTGCTAAAGTACATTTGTAAAGGGTGTCTAGTCCTGGAATTCAGGAGGATATTAAAATCGGGTTCTGTCCAGTTATGCTCTGTTTTGCCTGCAATTATTGGACTATTGTTTATCCTAATAATTTGTCCATAGCATGCAAAACCTGGAAAACCAGCATGGGATCATAGAATCATTAAGGTTGGACAAGACTGTTAAAATTGAGTCCAGCCATCAACCATGATAACACACATGATAAAATACAATTTAAATCTCCACTTCCTATAAACAGGTATACAAGAGAAGGTACTGTCCCACACATGAAGACTTTTACATACTTCTGCTCTTGCTTTGAGTTTCAAATTTGCTTTATTTAAAATAAATAGCATTAATTATTGTATGTAGAAGGAACTGAGAGTTAGCAGTGAAGAATTTCAGTGTGCTGGGGTGGGATGGGGCTTATGGAACTCAGAAGTGCATCTAGTGGGGAAAATGACAAGGTGGCACATCAGAGAGGAGCTGTAATTTTAGAACACTTGAAGGTAGTTTTGACAGCACAGCATTTCTTAATATTGTCACTTTGTGTGATGTGGAAATACGCTAACTAGCAAATGGTAACCTAGATCTGTAATTTTGAGCATATCTATCTTCTGCTCGTTGTTTTGTTTTGTTGTTGTTTTGTTTTTCCTACCTAAAATTGTGTCAGATTCTTCCTTTAAGGTCATCTGAGAGGGTCTGGTAATACTCTCCATCCCTATCCGTGATTGCCAGTTGTTCTGAACACATTTTTCTCCTTGTCTTTCTTTGAATCTATTCTTGCGTTCAATAATACTAAGAATGAGGTAGGTAAGCAAATGTGAAGGAGTTATTAACTAAAATATAGATATGTTTTATTCAATGAAATAGATCAACAGTCGATTTCTATAGTAACAGCCCATAATTTGACTAGACAGCTTTAAATCCACCAAGATGAAGGCTGTGCACTGTTTTAATTTTCAACTGACTGACCTGTTGCCTATAACCTGTCTCTTGTGTTTGGCTTAACACTTGAAAATGAGGATGTTTGAGGAGGGGAAAAAAATGCATTTAACATAGTATTACATTTTCTTCACAGACTCTGACACATCTCTGGGACCTGCAATGACAAGTCAGAATAGTAGCCATGCAGAGAAAACTGGTGAAATGTCCTCAAAGCAGTCAGCACCAAAAGTGCAGGTCCAACGATCTGTCTCTCGAGAAACCATCACTATTCATTTCTCTGCATTTGGGAAGGAGGAAGAAGAGGAGGAAGAGGAGTTTAAGGAGTTTCTTGATGAGGAACTAGATGACCAAAGCATTGTAACAGCACTTGAAGCCAAGGAAGACCTCTGCTTTGAGCATACCGGCCATGAGTTTTCTGGTCCAGCTACCTCGTTTAACATGGCCAACTCTGCATCACTGCTGTCCTCATCACCTGCAGTTCTGCCAACTGCAGAGACTGTGAAGCTGTTGGATTCTCCTTGCACACCCCAAGTATTCAGTGCAGTGCCACTAGTCCTGTCTCCATCATCACACTCCTGTCATACAGTTAGCTTATCAGGTGCACCACCACCTGTGGAACAGAAATCCAGCCTGTCGTCTTCTCCATCCTCATCCCCTTCCAGATCAGGTGTCTGCTCTAGTGGATCATCCACAGTCTCTAGTTCAAAGCCTTTTAAGGGTTTAGTCAAGTCCCTTTCAACAGATGTGGAACCAAAAGAACCCACCCCACCGATGCGACATAGACAGTTGATGAAAACCTTAGTGAAATCTCTGTCTACAGACACTTCTAAACAAGAATCTGAAGCTGTGTCTTACAGGCCACCTGACTCGAAACTAAACTTGCATCTGTTCAAACAGTTCACTCAACCTCGAGCTACAGGTGGTGATTCTAAAACTGCCCCCTCATCTCCATTAACATCTCCCTCTGACACTCGTTCCTTTTTTAAAGTACCTGAAATGGAAGCTAAAATTGAAGATACTAAAAGACGCCTTTCTGAAGTAATCTATGAGCCTTTTCAGCTGCTCAGTAAAATAATGGGTGATGAAAGTAGTAGCCACAGGCCCAAAGCCTTATCTTCAAGTGCTTCAGAACTCTCAAACCTTTCCAGTTTGAATGGCCATTTGGAAAGCAATAACAACTACAGCATTAAGGAAGAAGAATGTGATTCTGAAGGGGACTTCTGTGGAAGTGACTCTAACCTGAATAAGAACGATCAGTCAAAAGCGGCTGAGGAACAGGCAAAAGAGACAGAGACCAAAAGCTCTCAGTCTGCAAGCACAAAGGACGTGAGTTCGAAAACTTCACTCGTACTTGAAAAATGTTCATTGTCTGCACTAGCAAGCAGAGAGGATGAGGAGTTTTGTGAACTGTATTCTGAAGACTTTTCCTTGCTAGAGGATGAAAGCAAAACTGATAAACCTACTGAAACTTTGCTCGATCCAGAGATGACTGAGGAAAATGGTACTATGCTTAGTAGTGAAGATGAAAATAATCCATGTGTGCAACAGCCTAAAATTCCAGTGAAAACTTTATACTTCTTAACACTGTTAGTCTATGCTTACTTTATTATCCCTCTCCCTGGCTACTTAAGTGGACTCTTACTTGGAATGGCCCTTGGATTTATGATAGCTGTCTGTGTGATTTGGCTTCTTACTCCACGTACTAATGAATATATCAAGTGGCATAATAGTATGAAAAAACGATGGAATACAGAAGCTCTAGACATCAAAGAACCTGAAATACTGAAGGTGAGGCCATGGCATTTTGTGCGCGTGTCTGTGTGCGTTGTTTTGCATAGAAGTAGTAAACTAGATTTATTCTGAAGGTGTAGATGAGCTGAATTATCCCTGTTTGTAAACAGAGTATTGTTTTAGGGTCAGGTGACTTTGGCAGGGGTGCAAATGGTTTAGTATCCAAGAATATGTTAGACTTCGGTGTCTTTAAGGATTAGTAGAAAAACAGAATTGCTTTGAAAGTAAAAGGGCCAATGGTTTTGCTGATGGATTTGAAATGATCCAGCTGAACTACTGAGAGCAAGTAGTGTCAGAGTTTAGTGTGTAAAATAACATTTGTGCTTGAAGCTGCATCTTGTGAGATGTACTCTGTTTCTGGGGTATTTTACTGTCTAGGCAGTAATTTGTCTGTCCTATCTGTTCAGTCTAAGCAGATTCAGAAGCGTTGTATTCAAGTAAAGCGTAGATAGTTGGAGTGCACATGGATTCTCCTTAAACATTAGCTAATTAGAATGGGAGGAGGAATGAGTGATGAAAGGGACATACTCATGGGTTGTGATGTCTGTGGTTCTGCATGCTGCTGTCTCGAATAGCGTGCTGTATAATATGGATTGTAGTTCAGTAAAATGTGTGCCTGAGAGCTGGGTTTTAAATCACGCTCTTAGAAAATGTATCCTCCCTCCTCTTTGCCTTTCCCCATCTCCACTTCGTGTTCAGATACTTCAGGTTGCTGTTGCTTCAAATGTCTGGCACGTTGCTATCTGTCCAGTGGTGATCCGAACAACCACTCGGTTATTTCAGTGGCTTTGTGCTTCTTCCTTGTCCCTGTCCTGCCTCTCCTAATCTCCATCTGTGATGAGTTAAAATAATATTTGCAGAATTCCGAACAACAAAGCATCTGCTAGTTTCTGATGTGCAACAGAAGCATTTCAGAACGGTAGTGGTACAACCTTCAGTTGATATCATTTGCTCGTCAGAGTATTTGTGAATGCTTTCTTGTATTTGTGTAAATATGAAATCCATCCTGAGCTTTCTTGGAGGTGCATCTCCAATTGTGTAACAACACAAGGTTGCATGAATTTAAATTCCTAGGGTATTGGTTATGTGCTGTAGAATCTATAATGCATTCATAGCTAATCTCAAGTATCTTTAGGTAACTGAGAAGTTAGAGAAATGGGGTATAAAAGCCAACTTTTGCTGAATACAGGTAGCAATTACATGCCCAGCCCTGATGCTACCTTGGTGTTCTCTGTTTTTCTTTAATGTTACAAGTTGCAGTCTTTCTTTGCTGTTGTGAATGCAGACTCAGCAGTCCTGTCTGCCCATTTGATTTACTTGCTGCTTGCGTGTACAAATCTTCACAAACTTTAAGTTCCGTCCTTGTTAATTGGGTGCTGAGACCCTGTGTGTAAATTTGCCTGGATACTTGAAAGCTGGTAAAGGTCCTGATACTCACTGTTGGCTGGTGTTAAGGTGGCTCTTTGAGGTGTTAGCTGTTATTCAGGAACCTTGAAACTATATTTTAATGCTTTTATCCAGGAGGTACATCTTATGAGAGTGGCTGTAGGCAAGAAAGGAACTGTGTAGAGAAGTGGTATGAATGTGGATTGTTTTGTATGACCTGATAAATATTTCTTGTGCTCATTAACACACAAAGTAATTGTCCTTAATATGTAAAGCCCTATAAAAGGCCTTTTTAATGCTTTAGGAGTTTAAAAAACAGCTCAGTGTCTATATTGTAGTGGAACATAATGTCATTTAGCAGATTGCAAGTTACTGTTCCCCCCTTAGAACTATTTTCTGTTCGCCTCTGTCAAAATGAGCACTGTTCAATTTAGATGCTCTGAAAACCAAGATAAAGATATAGTCTGTAACAAAACTCACGTGAATGTTGGAAAAACCAGACTTAATGCTTTTGCATAAAGATGTTCTCTTCAGGACTTGTTGGTCTTGTATTCTGGCCTGAACTGCTTTCATGCCATTATGATTATGATAAAGGCTGTGAGTAAGATCCCTTTATGGGGCTCTAGGAGTTGGGATTCTGCCAAACTGCTGTCAAGCTATTTTTGTATGAGTACGTGTGCATTCTCTCCCATGTAAATATTGTCTGAGAAATTTTCATTTCCCTGGTTTCAAGAACTAGTGGAAAATTCCCCTCAGCAATTGCTGAAATGCATGAACATTGATATTTTCTCCCCCAAAATTGTTCCTTTGCAATGTGAAAGAATAAAACTCTGATGTGCTCGTTAGTGTGTGCTTCTGTAGTTTTCTGTATTTATTTCAGTCAAATGTCTTTGTTATAGGGGGAGAATATAACCCCCACCCTTCCGAAAACACAGGGGATCTTCAATGTATGTTTTCTTATATTCTTACTCCCATAGTTTTCAGTTCTCTAGCTTCCTTCTCTTTTTTTATCTGCCCACAGGTTTTTTCCTCCCTTCTTTAATGCATTAGTGTTTTCTAACTTCCTTATTGGCCTTCTCAAGTCTGCATTCCCTTGTGTTGTGCTGGCTGATACAAAAGGTTTTAAGTTCCAGCTAAAATGGAAATGATGAATTTACCCTTTCCATTAGAAACAACTTTTATGAGAAGACACTATTGGCAGTGCCTGCTGGAGAAGTGGAGCTTTTTGAACCACAGCTGTACAGAAAGAGGAGGCTTTTTACCAGCATGCTGTTCCTGAATGTCACCCAAGGGATATCATGTTTGTTAGCAGCCCCTGGCAGACAAATGTGTTTTCCAGTTGAGGTGATAGTTACTTCTGCCCGCCTTAGACCTTTTTTGTGTCTTTAGATTCCCTGTCAATAAAAGCTCAAAAACTGTATTACATTTTTCCTCATTTATCAAGCAAAACGCTATTGAAGTATTACAAGAAAATGGTAATGAGAAGGATACTAATATAATTACTGTGATTTGAATGATTAACAGTCTCAAGAATTTTGGTGCTGGAGCATTTGATTGTATCATTTAATGATAATGGATATTAATCAATTGTTAATATCACTAAGAAACTCCAGGGGTGGTTTTAATCCAGATTTGGGCTTGTATTGTGAATTTGACTTGCTGTTTCTTTTATTTATGTATTTGAAAATATCATAGAAGTAATAATTTTTATTTGGATTTACTTGCAAACCTGGTCTGTGCCCCCAGCCCTCTGGGTCCTTTGTAAGGATCTTTTGCGGTTTCCCCCATCTCCCCTCTCAGATTAAGGTATAACATGCCTGAGACCTTAAACTGAAGTGACATTACCAAGTTGATAGTCTGCAGGGCCTGGCTCTGCAGTTCTTATTCACGTGAATTATTCTATTGATCTGCAGCTCGAACAAAAAATTTGCAGCCCAGAGTCACAAAAGAGGAAAAGTAAACCAGGGTGGGCCTTTTAAAGCTGTTTTGTGCAGGTGCCTGTGTTCCCCAGACCCTTGCGTTCCCCAGAGGGCCGGTTTCATTGCTAGCACCGCTGTGACAGAGGTGACGTGCTGCACTCCGAAAGCCAGGTCGGTCTCTGCTGTCTGACAGACAGGCCGGATCCTGTTAGTGCATGTACGGGTTTTTGAATAGTAACTGCGACCTTTGCTGTAAAAGCCATGCTGCCCAATATTCCAACTGGATACGTTTTCAGGTTAGTTACCAGTCTGATGGCGAGGCACTTCCTCCTAATTTCAGCTGTGAGTTCAGAGCAACTGCTGACCTTTATAAATGGAGATCACAGGATCAGTGTAAATGGCAAGCAGCTGCAGAGTAGCATATGACTATGGTCATTGTCCTCCCTGAATTACTAAATTTCTTATTTTAACAACTTCGCTAGTACAAAAAAGACCCATCATACAGTCACTCCTCTCCTACACAAGGAAATCCATTGTTGTTTCGGTAGTTTGGCAAAATTCATCTGTTGCTAGCACGTTATGGTAACATAACTTCTCTGTTTAGATGCATTGCAAAATGATTTCTGTGGGCAGTGAATCTTTTGTTCCAGTTTGGTTTAGCAGTGGAGGGTGGAGGTATTTCTGCTGAAATTGTTCTTAAAATGCAGGAACTTTGTAGTGAATTTTGGGGTTTCTTGGATAACCTTCTCAAAAATGTTTTTTATGGTAGATGAAACAATTTACAAAAATTAAAATTTCTGAAGTGAGAAAGCAGATGGTGTCATTTCCCCCTTTAACACCGATAGATATATCGGGTGTGGGGGGAGTCCTGCAGCTGGCACACATTTTCAGATTCATTAATAGAGTGAAGAATTGCCATTTAGTGAAGTATTAACATTTCACTCTCAGCCGTGCAGTGTTTCTTCGTGTTACAAAATAACTTGAAAATTGAGTGTGAAAAGGAAACATCCTTAGAAATTAGGAAATTCATGTACGAGGAGGGTTTGTAGTAATGCGGTATGATAATCACTTTCATCCTGACTGTTGGCTAAGTACTGTTTGAAAATAAACCCCCAAATACTTGAATGTAAACCTCTGTATCTTTTGGTTTTTTGGGCTATGCCTCAAACACATGAAGCAGCCAATCTCTTCCTTTTATAGAAATCACTATGTAGGCTGATGTTTTAGGCGGTACATGTATTTGTGTTCTGTCAGTTCTGGATTTTAAACGTTCAGTACCTTCGGCAGCCAGAAATCATTGTTAAAAGTCTCGGACAGGTTCTTCAGCTGCTAATAACCTGGTGATTGCACTGTGAGAAGCAGCGTTTGTGCTTCTGTTGGGTTTGTTACGTACAGTGAGCAGGGGAGGTGGCGGTACAGGGTTTGGGAATTGTGTGTTTGGCAGATTATAGAGCTAATCCATTTGTTTGAAGTGGAAAGCCTGGGCACATGGTAGGGATCAGAAAAGAAGGTGGGACTTTCCCAGGGCTCCTGAAAGAGAAGCGGGAATATACAAACTGAGGAAGCAGAGATTCTGTTTTGATTAATTTTGTGCTTTTGTCCAGTGTGTCTTGCTGCTGCTGGGAAGAAGGTGGCAATCTTCAAAAAGGTCTCTTCTCTGCTGTTTAGTTGTGTAGGGTGAGGAAATCTGGCAGAAAGGCTGGTACTGGCACTGTTATAAAGGAAAAGGGATAGGAAATGTGCTGGTGTAATGAATGACATAATGGACGAATTCAGCCTCCTGTGCTACCAGAGATTCACTGGACTTGGTTAAGTCACTTACTGTAGGCTGGGCCTGGCTCCGTTTTATCGCAGATGCGGCTGGCTCAGTGTGTGCTGGAGGGATGAAATTAAGCATGACTATGGGTAACAGTTGTATAGCTGCGAGAAGGTAAAGCAAAGTTTGTGCGTGTGTGTGTCCCAAGGTGTTCATGTCATCTCAGCTTTATCTTTGAACCTATGTTCGTGGATTTTTACTTCTTACTATGGTACATGGCAGTCAGGAGAATGATGTGTAAATTACTCCTTGTTTTCATCGCTAGATGTCCTCTGCTCAGCTCAAGTGCTGGTGTCAGAAAATTCCAGTGGGTTCCATCTCAAGCAGTATGTTAAAACAACTTCAAGTGTACTCTGACCTTCCTTCTTGGGTACCACACATACCCAGAGGTTTCTGACTCTCTGGCTGAAAATAACATCATGGCTTATTACCGTTATAAAAAGGGCTTCTGTGGCTAAACTTCATATAAAGATCCATGTACAAGTATCCCTTTCTCTTTGCGCCACCTTCCGTGGTCTTCAGCTGAACTGCCTTGCAGGAGAAGGTAATAAACTTCTGAGGCAGCAAATTTTTGTCTGTATGTTTGCCTGGCTGCAGGCTCCAGACTTCAGTGTCTGAGCTAGAAATAGCTTGGAGATCTGATGTCGGGGACAGGTGGGAGTCTCTCAGGAGATCTGTGGGCCATATGGGTATTCCAGTTCTGTGCAGAGTGAATGGCTCACGGTGGCTTTAGGCAACTCACGTGATGTCCTTGTGCTTCAATAAGTCCAGCTGGAGTTCCTGGCTGAAAAATAATTGCTGTGTGCTCAAAGACATCTTGCCTTAGTAATTTCTAGGAAGGAAGTGGGATGTGCCCAAATAAAGATCAGTCCTGCTGTGGAGAACCTTGGTGGTTTATAGAAAGCTCTTCCTCATGCATATTTCCTATATGGTAGTTGTATACAACCCAGTGTAAGCAAAAAACCCAAGCACAAAGCTTCTTCAAAAAGCATGTGTTGCTATAGATATTTCTGTTAATAAAAGAGGTAGTCTACTTTGGAGCTGAGCAAAGATGAATGACTTAATCTTTCCTGAACATAAAAGAAATGCTAATTTATCTAGGATTTTCAAGGTTTATAGTGAAAATGGAGCTAGATACTGGAGTAAGCAAAACATAGATATCACCGTTACTATGGCACCTAAGGAAGTGTATGCTCTCTACTTTGAGAAATTATATGGCACTGAAGTAAACAAGCATTAAAATAAATTTTACATTTCTATGTGTGGGTGGAAACTTTTTTAATAAATTAAAATGTTGCAGTAATTTCTGGGATGTTTGCATAAGGTCATTAAAACTTTTTTGTTCTGAAGAATACTAGGGTTGCTCATTCAGCTCTCGCCACTTCCCAGTAGTGGATGCTCTCCCTGCTACTATACTCACCTAGGTGTTTGTAAAGATGACATTTTACTTTATCTCTAGAGTAGCTGTTTAAGTCTATCTCCTTTGCTTTCTGTTGACATTAATGAATACTGAGTATACCAAATTAAGGTTGATGGGCAGGTAGGAGTAATTATCGAAGTATGTTGCAGGGCAGGTTGAGTAGGAAAACTTGTCCTCCTTGGATGACTGTTCTGGCTCATCTTCTGCCCCATTTATCATCTTGCATTTTCTATAATCAGAGGAGTAACATCACTTCCATGGTTGGAGTCAGCACTTACAGACCTGTTACAGCAGGGCTGGTTGTTTGTTTTCTGTTTCTTTCACTGCACAGAAAAGAATGAAAGTTAATCCACGTGCGTGACTCCTGTGTTGTAACTGGGCAGTGGCACAGCATGTTAAATGATGTTAAACAGTGATGGTGCATTAAAACTCCATTGTGGTCTTCCACTCAGTCCTTAATCATTGATGATTAAAATGTCAGTGCTGTCTATAAGGAGGCAGACTCTTTGCTCTGCCTTGGCTGTGGGTGATTAAAATGTCGGTGCTTGCTGTAAGCAGCAGGCTGCTCTGCAGTGTGCCCTTACTGCCTGCCTTATGGCTCTTCCCAAGCCTGCATCGGTGGATCACGCAGTGTTTCATGAAGATGAGGTGGAAGAACACTGCACTACATATACAACATGATTTGGTCAGAAAAACAAATTGTTTGCTTGGGATACAATCCTCATCTCGTGCTCTGTCAGTTTGGTGCTACCTCATTTAGGGCATTTACTGCTTTGTTGTATTTATACAGTAAGTGATGTTGCTTTGGCAAAAGCTTGGATAATTATTTAAAACTCTGATGTACGTGCTGTACTTGGATTTCCAGCAGCTTAAAAAGCCTGTTAACAAGTGTTTTCTTCTCTAGGGATGGATGAATGAAATTTATAGTTATGATCCAGAAACATACCACGCTACGTTGACTCACTCTGTCTATGTGCGACTTGAAGGAAGCACCTTAAGACTTTCAAAGCCCAATAAAAATATTTCTAGAAGGGCTGTGTACAATGAGCCAAAGCCTGAAGTCACGTATATCAGCCAGAAAATTTATGAACTTACAGAAAGCAAGGTGAGTGTGCCTTACTTATATCTTATTTTAACAAAGAATACTTTGAAACTCTCTTTTTCTGCAATTTTGAATTTTTTTTTTCACTGCTAGTTTCATGTGCTGTTGTTATGTAAACAAAACTGCTGTTGTGGCTAACTGGCAGAAGATTGTGCTGGGGAGGAAGATTGAGCAGCATTTAGAAAAACTACATCTTTACACAGTAAAGGAAAAGCATGATTTTCCTCCATCAGTTCAAAGTAGTAGTTAACACATGGGAGTTCAGAGAATAGTTCCCCACACATTAGATTACTGCATGACTGTTCTGAAGCTTACACCAAACTGCGTAATCTTTGGTGGTCCTCTCCATCCCAAGGCAATTCAGACAACATTTGCATTTCACTTGAAGGGGGAGTGTACATTGTATATGGATGTAAAGGAGTAGAGAGGCGGCTGGAACAGACACGACTTGCTGTTGGTACTCACTGTCGAAGGAAGGAGATGGGGATTTTTGCAGTTGGAAGAGTGCACCAAGAATAATGCTGGGACAGTTTTCCGACATGTTATTTGCCTCCCTCAAATCTGTGAAGAGTTGCCACGTGAAGTTGATTCCATTGGCATTGTGTTAAGTAATACATCAATACCCCATTATCAAAGGAATGGATTTTTTTAATGTGCTGCATCAATAGAGGGCCTTGGCAGAACAGATGTAGGAGGAAACTGTGCTTCGCTTGACTGTGGGAGTTAGAGGGAGAGAGGGACCAAGGTGACAGTGAGGAAAACCTCCCTTCATTTCCCTGAATCAGTACGGGAAAGGAGCTTGCTGTCAGCTCAGCTTTCTGTTAAGGGAAGACAATGAAAAAGATAAAGCACAACCAGATTTCTGCCTGCTGCAGATTTGTTTTCCCATGATGAAGACAGCCAAAGCTATCACATGCTGCAGGAGCACTTGGCTGACAATTGTTCTCCATAGTACCTTAAAAAAATTCCCAGTACTTTCCCCTCCCCCCACCCCCCATTGGTTGCAAAAGTGCTGGATGCCCTAGATATAAGCAAATTCTGACTATTCTCTCATAGTTTTTGGGAAATGTGAGTAAATTCATCCCCTAGATTAGAATTTTTAACTCTTATTATCCTTCTAATCTCTTGCATTCTCTCAGTTCTCTCTGAAATACTGAATTTAGAATATAAATTATAAATAAAAGTATAAAATCACTTTTATTCCTTGATTCTTACATACTTGATGTGACTGTTGCCAACTTCAAACCGTTAAATTCATGAGATGTGCCTGAAAAGTTGAGTGTTAAAACTCAGTTTAGATTCTCATTAACTACCCTGTGGTCACAGAAGTAAGGTTCTTGGTTTTTCTGTTTTTTCTGCATAACTATGAGAATAAGATCTTTTAAATGAAAGCTGAGTTTCTCTACATGATTGTAGAAGTCTAAGCTACTTGAATGGTCTTTGTTTTAATTCCAAGGCTATGGCTCACCAAAGACCTAATGACAGCAGTGGATTGTACATCAACCAGCTATAAGTTAAAAGTCAGTTACACCCGGCAGATCCAATGCAGGATCCGTATCTCTCCTGTTCCTATGTTCTTTATGTGACTACAGAAACATAGAAGATACAACTGAAAAATAAGTTAATTGAATCCTTTCATTTATCCTTCAGATTTCCTTGGTTCCTAAGAGTCTGGCACGAAAGCGGATTTGGAATAAGAAGTACCCTATTTGCATTGAACTTGCTAGACAGGATGACTTTATGGCTAAGGCCCAGACTGATAAAGAGAATACAGAGGAAAAGTTATCCGCTGAAAAAGTGGACTTGAACAATGAGGAATCCAAGAAACCTCAGGATGGAGCAAAGTACACTAGCCAAAAGGATCAAGTGCTTTATCTCTTTGGAAGGACTGGTAGGGAGAAGGAGGAATGGTTCAGAAGGTTCCTTCTCGCATCCAAGCTGAAGTCTGAAGCGAAGAAGCCATCCAGTCTATGTGGGAGCAAGTCAGGTATTCAAATTTTGTGTTCTAGTAAAAGCATCTATTAAACCAAAGTTATGTTTTCCCAGCGGCAGTTATAGCAACTGTGGAGCCGTAGTGATATTTACAGGCAAATAGTACTGAAGACACTCTTCTGCTCCTTACCTTGGCCTCGCATTCCCACCTTCCCACCCTGCCTTTTCCTGTCTTGGCTCTATACTTGCCTATATGCCCTCTACTATTATTACTATTTTTAGACTGTTTTATGTGAATACACTATTTTTCAGTGACTGTAACAACTCCTGTAATTTTTGTTAGGATGAATTGGTCAATCCTTTTTTTCCCCCTCTCTGTACTGTTGGAGCTGGTGTCAGTATTTGCAGTATTACACTCAGTCCTCCAATTACCCATTCTTCCTCCTCTATCCTTCCTTCCGCTCCAGTCTACTGTAAAGACTAAAGAGCTTTCTCATGGGTTAATGTCACAAGCAAACACATCTTTGTTTTTAAATAAATAAAAAGTCCTGTGCTAAAATATGTATATATAAAAACCAACAAACATGTTAGTCTACAGTATTGATCAAATGTTTGAAATACTAATTTAAAACCATCCTCTGATATAATTTTAAATCTGAATGACTCATGCTTTTTCTTACTTATTTTCTTAGAAGCTTTTTAAAAATTGGTTAACATCATTATTTCTGGCGTGTAACTTCTTGAAATGCAAATGCAAAATTAATGACTAATTAAAATTCTAATAGTTACATGCTTTTGACAGTCATTTTAATTGTAACAGTCTATAATTAAATTAAAAAAAAAAAAGTTCAGTTATAGGTACGTTTTAATCACCTGACTTTTATTTTAGGCATTCCCCAGCAGGGCTGTTGGGAATTCTGCCATATGTTGTACATATGTGAGTGTCCATATTTAAATAGGCTTTTGATCAGCTGAGTTTCCCAGTCACACATCCTGCTGAGTACTGAATCATACCAAATATTGACTAATTTGGGTTTAGGACCACCTAAGCACGCAGTAGTGGAATTTACTTTTGCCCTTCAAAATGAGAAAACACTGCTCTGAATGGTTGCTTTTCGGAATAAAATAAATCCACAGGCTAATTTTGTTCCTTTAAGCATTTGATAATGTACTCTACTATTGAACCGTCAGGTTCCTTTTCTGTTAAACAGGTAATATTCCTTTTGATTTAGGGATCTTGCCAGCACACAGTAGAACTGATAGTCAATCTGGAGTTCTCACGCACAGCCGAAGCAGCAGCAAGGGAAGTGCAGAAGAAATTGCAGCCCAGCCGAAGCACAAGGATCTGGCTGGCAATGTGCGGCAGAAAATGCTTCTGGACTACAACATTTATATGGCAAAGTGTGTTCCACAAGAAAAGAAAAGCCCTTCAGGTAGTCCAGTCCTCAGTGCAGATAGCAGCCCTACAGCTGTGAAAAAGGTAATACTTTTCCTCCGAAAGATGCATCAGAGGTGGTGATACTTTTTTATCTTCTTAACTACTACTTAAAAAATTTGTTATGTAAAAAGAGAAGTTGATTTCTTTAACTACAGGTTGGACCTAAACTTTTTCTAAAGTCGGTGTGGGTTTTCACACTTGCGAGTTCACTGTTGACCACAGTTTCTTCTTAGTGTAACATACAAATGTTTCATTACTCTAGTTTGATTTCTTATCTTGCAAGAACATGTGTTTTTTCTGGGTTTTGCAGTGTCTTGTATCTAAAATATTGTACAGCTGAAGGCAATATGGCTGTAGATTTTATCCATTGAGAGTGCATGGGTATGTCCTAAAAATATTGGTCCCAAATGAACTTGTATCTTATGCTTAAGGTTAAAACAAACAAAACAATCAAATAAAATTGCACAAACCTCCCTTCCCAACAGTAGTAAAAAGTTAAATTTTTCTGCATATATTCTAAAGGATGTTGAACTAAAAGCATATTTTTGAGGTCCTGGCTTGTTGAAACAATTTAACTGGAATCTTTGGTACTTGGTAGTAAAACTGATCTTCATTTTCTGTTCCTTGTGGGGAGCTAAAGGCCTTCTGTGATTCCTGAGTGCATCTGAGCACCTGACTGGGACAGAATTGTCATATAACACAAGTGTAGGTTGGGTGCTATTCTTAGCAGGTTTTCAGTGCAGATATTACACTATAAAATCACTTTTCAGCCCCGCATTTGGCTTCACTCATGCACTCTGGATCACATGAAGCACTGCTTTTTGTCCCAGACCTGAGAACTGTTTTTCTGTTGCATGTTTCAGAAAGTGCTTAACCTCTTCAGTTCTTCTCAAGAATGATGTCCTGGCCGTGTTGCCATGAATAGGGTTAGGAATTTGCCTTTAGCATGTATCTGATGGTCCTCTGGTGGGGCTTTGACGGCAGTGGGATTGTTTGTGCTGCAGTGTACCTGCTGTGTGGGTTGATTGGGGGACAGAAATGGAATTGGCTCTTGTATAGACTACAGCTTGATTTGGACAGTCTTCCTCCAAAAGACATAAGGCGTGGATGGATGGATGATGGGTGGATCAGTGGGTTTCCATTTTTTTAGTGTCTTTTGAAGCAATACTAAGGGGCTAATGCGTTAGTATTGTGTAGTACATAACAGAGTAATAGGGAACAATGTCTATAGCTCCGACTAATTGTTAGGCTGCATTTGAATCACTCTTAATAAATAGAACATTAATATTAAGTTTGACATATTAAGTACGACACTCTTAATAAATGGATCCTTCATGTTAGGTATGATCACTGTTCATTTAAAAGATGCCATGCGTCTTTGTTGCCAGACTTTCATGCAAAGTCCAGAAAAGAGGCAGCGGCCACGATACAGTGTATGAGCAAATACATCTTGTGCTCCCCCAGGAAAAAGATATTCTCTCCCCTGACAACCCCTGGAGCAGTGATGAATTTGCTGCTGAATCTGGCACGTGTCAGAAATCGTTCTATAAATAGATCAACAGTGCTGGCAGGGAACTTGCATCACAGCAGAAGCTACTAACCCAGCAATTCTGCCTGTGTGAGGCTGCAGCCATTGGGAGCAGGCATTGCCAAGAAATGATGTTCAGAACTGTAGCATCTACCTGACTCCTCTTAGAAAGCACTGCTTTTCTGCTGGCTTCAGGATTTCTGCCTGTAATAATGAAAGGCAGAGTCTTCTTTCGTTGCAAGCAGCCGAGAGATGTTAAGTATGTTGTCCTTCCTTTATGGAAACCTCCTTTTAATGAAATATGTGATAGCGTGTGCACACCCAAAATTATTTCAGCTGCCTTTGCTTTCATGTCTGTAGTCAGTGATGCAACAACTGAACATATATCTCCAAGTGTTTTGAGACCAAGACATAATCCTCTTGGACTTCAAACAAAACCTTTAATGCAGCAGAAGGAACAATACGGTTTCCTGAACCCTGTATACAAGCAATGGAATGACGAATTTGTTTCCCTGTACTGCATTTGTCTATAGATATTTGAGATGTTTCTGAACTGGATTTAAGGATGCAAGATTGGCTCTTGCTTTCCTATTTTTTTTTTTTTTTTTTTTTTTTTTGCTAGAACAAAAGGAGGGGAGAGTAGCTGTTCTAGATCCTACTGGGAAGGGAGTGTCTCTACTACAGACACATTTCTGAGTCTGCCCATGCTGGGCTTATCTGTTTTTTCTGCCAAAGGTTAAATTACATACAACTTTCTCATTTCATTGCCAGAGGTGAATCTATATCTATGTGGTCTCATTCACTCTGTTGCATGTCAGGATGATGACAAGCAAGCTCATGTCAGGCCAGCTGATGTGGTTGAAACGCTTCTATCTGTGCTGAGCACTTTGTGTTCTTGGCTAACCCAGGCGATAACACTGAACTTCCCACTGTAAATGAGGCCTCTTCTGCTTAGTTTGTAGAGTTTATAGAGCTGAATAACCTGCTCTGTGTTTTCAGCTACCAGATGCCCATGTGGAAGCTGAAGAAGAAGAACAGGAGGCCTGGGTGAATGCTTTGCTTGGAAGAATATTTTGGGATTTTTTAGGAGAAAAGTATTGGTCTGATCTAGTATCAAAGAAGATCCAAATGAAACTTAGCAAAATAAAGGTAACTGATCTGGAGACTTGCACTACGCATACCTTATGGATGAAAACAATCACATAGTCTTTGAGTTCTAAAACAGTAGAAGAAACATTTATTTCACACTCATATGTAAAAAACAAGTAAATAAATGTGATACAGAGTTGCAGTTCAGCTTTGCTGTCCGTTTCACAGTAGGATCTCAACATGTTCAAATGTTTAAATGTTCTGCTTCAGTTTCAAATGAACTACAGCTGGATTAACAGTTTGTGAAGTTTTTTTTGTAAAAAGTAGAAGCATTATTATATTTATTTTAGGGATAAATGGAACTGCTTATAAATTATGAAATCTGCTTTGGGAAATAGTAGATTGCCTTTAAGATGGAGGAGGTCAAGGAACCACAATTCTAATGTGTTCCTGTAAACTTCAGACATGCACTACTTGCAGGAGAGGTCAGTGAGAGTAGTAGTTGGGGAAAGAGCTGTCTGTGGGGTGATAGGATAGGATTGTGCATCAACTGCATAAGCTCAAAGGGCGAAGGGAGGAGTGGTGCTCTTGAATGACTTCTGGGTCATCCCTTTGCATTCTATAACTTCACTGACAGCAGCAGTTAATCACAGGCCTATTTAGCTCCTGATGTTTGGGGAGGAGTTTGCCTGTTCCTAATGGCAAAGGAAGATGATGTCTTCCTGACAAAAGCTCTGAAATTCAGCTGCCAGCAGCAGCTGTAAGATAGCGTTGCTTGTGCTTTGGGAAATAAGCAGTAACCTAATTCTGCCCTGGCTGTTTCCAGAATTGGGATAGCAGGGTACCCAAACATCGCATTGAAAACGGTTTAAGTGGAAAGACAGGGAGTGGTTGTATTTTTGGTAGGTTAAAGCACTGTCTGTTTACAGAAGATGATAGAATTTCTATAAATTAGAAATACTTAGAGTAAATAGATACCTGAATAATTGTGATTCTGTGCCTCTATTATACTAAAATTATGATATAGATTTAAAAGGTAATGTGCTATGAAAGAATTTGCCCAAGATAAGAATAGCTGAGATGTTGATATAACTGCAACTATAAAATATGTGACTGAATTTAAAATCCAAAGAAGTCTTTGAATTTTATTCACGGTAAAATAGGATTTACACTTCATCCTTGAGTTTTTACGTGCTTTGACTAAAAAGCATGCTGGAGGTTTAAGGTCAGCATCTGAACTTCAGCATAGTTTTAAAAACATTCCAAGATTAGATGCTGGAT